ATCACTGGGGTAGAGATGAATTTTTTAATAAATAGTCTGAAACAAGCAGGTAGTCATTTGGAAAAGTTATAATAGATCTATATCTCACATCATATAGTAGATAAACTCCAAGTGGATTAGGGACCTAAATATAAAAACTGAAACAGGACAGTATAAAGGAAAACACAGCTAAATTATTCTGTTCTTTAATCTTGGGAAGAAAAAGGCTTTCTAACTATGGTTTAAAATCAGAGACCAAAGGAAAAAATTGATAAATTTGACTGCATACAAATTAAAAATTTTTGCCTGACAAAAAGCACCATAAACAAAGTCACAGGACAGCTGACAAATAGCAAGAAAATATTTGCAACACATACTAGAAAAAAAGGCTAATATTCCTTACATATAAAGAAATCTTAATTATTAAGGGACAAAAGACAAAAATCCTGATAGAAGAATGAGGAGAAATTCACACACACACACAAAGATTAAAATGGCCTTTGAACATGTGAAAAACTGCTCAAACTCACTCATACTTAAACAAATCCATGTCTCTCATCTAACAGATTGGTGAAAAATTTTAAATATGGGAATACTTTCTATTAGTTAAGCTTATTGGTGGAGGTATGGGGAAACAGGCACTTCCAAACTTTCCTGGTGGGAATGCAAACTGGTACAGCCCTTCTGGAGGAACATTTGGCAATGTCTAACAAAATTGCATATGCATTTTCTTTCTGACCTAGCAACCTCACTTCTAGGGGACGTATCTCCAACAATGCAAAAGCACATACATTTGAATTTAATCATTGCCTCATTGTCTGTAATTGCAAAACACTGGAAACTATTTAATTGCCCAAATGTGGAAGAGTGCTTGAATAAACTGGTATAGCCATACAATGGAGTACTATGCAACTGTATAAAAGAATGAACAAGACATCTAAAACTGATGTGGGGTGCTTCCTACAACATATAGTAAGTGAAAAGAAGCAAATCCTCAAAGAGTATATCTCCTTTTCTTAGGTGTCTGCTATTTCATGCAAAAGAAATTCAAGAAGGATAAAGAGAATTTGAATAAACTCAAAGTACCTGCCTCAAAATACTTATCAATACAAAGGGAAACATAGTAATTTTATCATGGCGAAACCAGCACGAGCCACCTTAACCAAGTGATCAAGGTAAATATCACCAATAATAAGATATATCAGTATCATGAATCCCTTGCTATGATGTGCTGAAAAGGGACACAATATCATTTCTGTGGCATTCTTGCAAAAACTGCATAATCTTACCCCAATCATGAGAAAACATTAGACAAAGCTAAATTAAAGAATATTTTACAAAATTACTGATCACTGGTCTTCAAACAGAGCCAGTCATAAAGGACAAGGAAGGACTGAGGAACTGTGACAGATTGGAGGCGAAATGCAGTGTGAGGTCCTGGAGAGGATCCTGGAACCAGAAAATGCTATTTGTAGGAAAATCTGTGAATTTCTAATGAAGCCTGTAGTTTAGTTAATATTATTGTGCTAATTTTAATCTCCTAGTCTTGATAAGTATAATGGTGATAAGAAATGTTAACATAAGTAGAAGCAGAGTGAGGGATATAAAGGAACACTTTATAGTGTTTTTTCAACATTTTCTAGGTCTAAAATTAGTTTAAACTAAAATGTTTTAAAGCCCAAATAAATAAATAAATGGATCTCTGAACTTCTATTAAGGGTTTTCTGGAAACCTCCACCTTTTCACAACTCTCCTATAAAAGTTTCAAAACATTTCGGAAACCACATACGATTAATCTTAAACTCACAATGATCAGAAGGGCAGTCTCACACGTTGCAAATTAGTGAAGAGGAGAAAACTAGAAGGGACACCAGACGAAATGGAGCATGTGAGGGAGAGATTTGTAAATGACCTCTTTTGTGTTGCTAAATTTACTCCTAACCTGGAATGGGCTACAACCATCACAAGGACACAAAACTCATCAGGTAAATTCAAGGACTTTTTAAGAATGCATCTAACCACCTCCTGTCCAAAACATTCAAGCTTAACCTTTCTCCTGAAAATGCAATCTGCTCTTTCCACCCCTCCCACATACCAGACTCTGAGACCTAGATTGTCACACGAGCAGAACCATCCCCTTGTTCTGATTGAATAGGTTCTTGTCGTTACATTATCAGCTTGAGATCCTAGGGGTATATGGAGATATGCCTATTCATTGCTGAGAGAATTCACACACAATTTCTGTCCTTCACATAACTTTGTCCTTAAAGGCTATTTTTGGAATTCATTTCAATTATGTTTTCCCAACAACCATATTAGGAGATGACTGTTGTTTCTTTATATTAGAAGGAAAAAAAATGAGACAAAGATCTCAAAACAATTAATTGAGGTGCTCACAATAAGAAACATAATGACAACGATAACACCAGATTTAAAGTCTCCAGCCTCTGCACCCTCTTTTTGTCTAGAAAACTGTGCTGCTCTGGCACATGTGTACATGGACCTAATGACCAGAGGAAATCCAGCTGACAGGGCTCTGTCACTCCATTCACAATACAGTGATGTGCTTTGCATTGCTTTATACTTTTCAAAGCCCTTTTCACATATTTTATTTAATTTGATCCTCAAACCACATTGTCACATAGGTAGAATAGAAATTTCCTTTTAATAAAGATGTTATGGTCTGAATGTTTGGTGTCCCCCAAAAATCCATATGCTGAAATCCTAACCCCTAAGCTGATGGTGTCAGGGAGCTGGCCTTGGGAGGTGATTAGGTCATGAGGGTGGAGGTCTTGTGAACAAGATTAGTGCCCTTATAAAAGAGGTTCCTGAAAGATCCTCCCTTCCCTTCCACCACGCATGGACACAGTCATAAGCTGAGAAATCTATAACCCAGAAGACAGCCTTCACCCAACCATGCTGGTTCCCAAATCTCAGACTTCCAGCCTCCAGAACTTAAAGAAGTGAATTTCTGTTGCTTACAAGCTACCCGGTCTGTGGTATTTTGTTATAGCAGCCTGAACAAAGACAAATAACACCATACCATTCAATAACACTTTAAACCATATAAGGCTCCTTTATGTGCATGACCTTATTTAAGTCCCACTAAAGGAAAAAGTGTGAGGTAATATTACCCACATTTTCAATGATAACTGAGGCTCAGAGGCGGACTAATCCAAAGTCACTCAGGTAGATTTAAGAAGACACCTGAACAATCTTCCGACTCATAGCGCAGTAATTTTCCCCCATTCTGCCATAGCTGCATACCCAAATGAGGAGAAATCACACGTTTTTAACTGTGGCTCCAAAAATGAGTCCGTGAGTGACTTCCTCCTAGAAGGGGATCTAACGGGGTCATTCTGCTTAGCCACTTAGCCACACGGCTATTCCAGTGGGAGAAGCAGAAATAGAACGTGGTCACAAGTCATGCTAGCAGGAGCAACACCTGATCAGGGGTCAGGCTAGGAATCGGGCAGTTATCTCTATGGATATCTGTGGTCCACTTAGGAACCATTCCAAGGGCTCCAGGAAAGCCAGATAGGATGTACATTAATTCACTAATTAAAAGCTCAGAAAGAATCATGAGGTATTTGAGGTAGGAGCCGATTAGGCTTAGGGCGGCTCCTATTACATAAAAGGTTGTATTGAGCCAGCTCCCTCCGCTTTACCTCCTGCCCTAGTATCTCTTAAAGATATGGGGGTTCCCCCGCATGACCCAGGAGAGCTGGGTTTCATAAACAACAGGACTCCAGAGTCACGCTTAACCCTCGAGCATGCTGCTGCGTTCCATGATATTGCAGAGCCTGACCACGGGTTTATGATAGAAAAAAAAGAACCAAGAAACTGAAGAGGGAAGGGCTGCAGAGGTGAGTCGGTGCCCAGAGAATGGAGTTCCTCCTGGATCCTGGCTATGCTGAGGATGGTGCCCGGTGGAAAATTCTGGCCACCCCCGTAACAGCCCCATAGCTCAGTTGGACAAAGCTCACTAATCTGGCAGCTGTCACTTTACTTAGAGTCACATAAGCAAAATGATTGGTTCTATTGACAGCAGCCTGGACTCCAAGAGTCACACAGGTGTCACGGTCCTGGGCAGGGAGAGCTTCTCCCATCCTCCCTATGGCTTCTGCGATGCAAGTGTCAAGGCCTTTTCCTCCAGGGCTGAGGGGATTTGCGTTCGCCTCTGTTTTCATAGGGTTGTGTTTGGCGGAAACTTTCATGTGTGGAAAGCAGCATTCTAATACATAGTGGCGCGCAGAGCTGTGCAGAGTCCTGAAGCTGAAGGTCACGAGGAAGAAACCCAAACCAGTAAACTCGGGGATGTTTTGTCCTGAACTTGTAAATCCAAACAATCTCCCAGTTATGAAATGGAAAGTTTGTGGGGAAGAACAAATGCCTTGGTTATTACAGCGTTACTACATTCATAAAATATATTTCATGGAGGGGGGGTGGGAGTTTACACAGGGGGTAATGAGATTTTTGCCTTATACATTATTTATAACCGCTTAATCCAGGTACTGTGGGTTATTTTTTTATTCCTTCTTTTTCACAGCTACAAAACACTTCAGTATTTCTAATTTATTTCTGCTTACAATACAGATGTTCTCAATTGTGTTTCTAACTACATTTCAACCATTATGATCGCGTTTATTTGTTCGTGTCAGCACACAAGCAGGGGTTGAATGTGCAATACACAATAGTGAGGCTTCGAGAAGCCTGTAAGAGGCCTCTTGTGCTTTAGTTATCAACAAATTAAAGCAGCTTGGCGGCACTATCTTTATCATCAGTGGTTTTCATCTCCGGATAATTCGCCTGCAGTTGGGTAAGCAGCGCGACAGCCCTCTCTTGGTGCAGAAAGGTTGCACGCCTTAAAACAGCACTTTTCGAGATGACCATTTGGAAGGAACATTTGGAGAACATTTGGGTTATGTCCTCTAACTGAATTTCCAAGCTGTTGGTAACGGGCTAAAGAAAACGCAGTCTGTACTGAATCCTAAGAAAGCAAGAGTGTAAGAGCCTTGAAGGTCATGTGTAAATATTGACATTTTAATTTTATTTAGCATACCAAAGTGGAGCCCTCCAGTTGCTTATCTTGCCATAAAAACCCACCCATCTGCACTGCCCCGCAGATTGTCGGGGAAGATCTGATCTGAGCAGCCGTGGGCACTCCTCCCTGCCTTTGTTAACAAGGCTGAGTTTTGTTTGTGCAAAATCTGAGTCAGAGGGGTGTTCCTCCCCTCTCATCTCCACCGCGGACCGATGCACCTGATTAGATAACAGAAATCCGTGGGCTGAACGTTCATGTAGTGACAGGAAAGCCAAGAGGCAAACACACTCAGGGAAAACAGCTGCCTGCTCGCTCACAGAGTCAAGTCAGGTGTCCAAAACCAAAGTTACTCGAGGAACCGATAACTGGCTAATTTGGCCGGAACACCCTCTTGTGTGTCCTCAGAAGCAGCATGAGGAATAAATGCCAACGTGTCCTCAGGCTTTGTATCCTTCTCACAATCCAGGACTCCACCTGCAGAGCTTAATTTAAACAGGGCCGAATTCTGAAAGTGAGGTACAAGTGATAGCTTGGTCTTCCCGCCAACAACAGTGGTTAGGGCTCCCCACACACTTAGCAAGTTCGCCAAGATGCTTGAGTGTTAGCCGACAATGGCATTGCTTTCCTACACCAGAGCCAAGAGCCCTGCTTATGTAGAACAGCCTGGCAGTTTGATAAGATGCCTGAGGCTCCCATCTCCCTACAGCGAGGTCACTAGAATCGTTTTCCTCCTGAGACATGGTGAATGGAAATGCAGGTCCAGCAGATACAAGGAGCCAGTGAGTGAAACATGGAGGAACCAGGGCCACCTCAAGTGGCCTTTGGCCTAAAAGGTTTCTTCTAAGTGGAAAGAAGAAAATTGAATGCGGGAACAAAATGACCTTTGAATGCTTCATAACTCAGGCTCTGACTTACTCAAAAAGGGGGACATGATATTAAAGACCAACACTATTTTCTGCCCTCTGCATCTGAGCTTTGAAGGGTGCTCCTCAAACATTCCTGATCTAGGGCTTCCCTGGTGGCGCAGTGGTTGAGAGTCCGCCTGCCGATGCAGGGGACGCGGGTTCGTGCCCCGGTCCGGGAGGATCCCACATGCCGCGGAGCGGCTGGGCCCGTGAGCCATGGCCGCTGAGCCTGCGCGTCCGGAGCCTGTGCTCCGCAACGGGAGAGGCCACAACAGTGAGAGGCCCGCGTACCGCAAAAAAAAAAAAAAAAAAAAACATTCCTGATCTAGCCTCTGTACCCAAATCAATGTCATGATTTACAATTCACACTATAGTTGAAATATTAACCGTCCTTCCTTACTCTAGCCTTGTTAAGTCCTGGCCTGCACAGCTACTGAAATAGTGCAATGTATTAAAGCACTCTCAAAGATATGTTGTTTGTTTTGTTTTGTTTTTAAGCAGTACTGAGTGGGCGGAGTCAGTCCCATCCAAAATTCCCAAGCGGGCAAAATGTGTGTCACTTGGCCCCTTCCTCCTTTGTCTGTGCTTTCCCCTCACCTACTTAGCAAACCTTCCTTTCATTCCCACTGATGAACTTCCAAGTTCCTTCTAGCTCAGCTAGTTCCTTTCAGTCACTGGAAAACAAAGCTAATAACTACCTTAATGTATTTGCCTGCAGAAAGTAATTTTTTGTTTTGCACATACCAAGAGAATTTTCATTTTAAGGGAAGCAAAGAAAGCCAAAGGAATGACTCTTCGGAGGTAGAATGTCAGAGACATGACGCTTGGATAAAATATAACTTGGGGCAGAGGAGTGTACTCTCAGCCTCCCTAAAGTGGATGAAACAGTCAAGTCAGTACCCATCAGGCAGACCTGCTAAATTTCAAGACGGAGACTACCCACCACATTCCCACTGTGATGTTTTAAGCATGGTGTATAGTAAGCTCTACCTACCTACTCAGAACTTAATACTAATTAGTTCTAATTAATCTTACACCTGATTCCTAAATAACTGAACTAAATTAACAGAGTCTAGTTATTCCGGTTATTCTCAAGGCCCTATGGAACAGTGGTTTTAAAAATTCCAGAAACAGATAAAGAAGGCATTGGAGTTGCTCTGAAACATCTAAGTCAGAGTAGCACAATTCATTGTTTTTATACAGAATTTGATTACCTGGTTAGCCCTGATTTGTTTCAGTCTAAAACCTATGATGCTTTCTTTTCAGTTTGGTCTCCTCCACATACTTGAACCTGTAGAGGTGGGAGGGGAGACAAAGAAGACTTGTTTTATTTGAGCTTGTGAAAATAATGGCTCTTATCAAGTTCAATGTCATAAGTTTTCCTCCACAAGAAGGAACAGTATACTTCCTGGTGAGCGATAGTTCTTTAGTACATAGAAATGGTTCCTAATTCTCAGCAGATAGAGCGCTTGAGGAAACAGGGGCATTCTCCTAAATCACAAAGAATAACGTGATGGTCAGTATGATTGACTGTTGTAAGCTTTCATAGCTTCTTTCACACTGAGATCCTGAAATATGGGAAAAGAACAGTGCCGGCTGGCCAGGGGAAGCCATTGCTGGGAAAAGGAGCATAAACATCCCCAAATATCCTGGTTTTCCCAGGATAACCATCATTTTCAACATTATTCTGAAAAGTAATAAGGTAATAAGAATAGGAAATTTAGGCTATGTTTACTGGATTCATAAAACATTCCCCTCAAAAGGGGGACATTTTTAATTTTTCATGAAGTTTGAAATCTACAATGGTCTGGCATCATTTCCAGGCATATAGAAGGAATTCATTTTTATTTTCATCTGAATTAGTGTATCCCAAACAGTGGGCACAACAGAAGCACCTGGGAATTATGTGGAGTTTGGGGTTTTTGTTTGTTTATTTATTTGCTTGTTTGTTTGGCGATGTATTTTAGTACCCCACCATAAATCTACACTGAAATTGAATTCCGTAATCTGTGTCAAAGAAATATATTCTTAGAATGAGTCCCCAAGTAACTTCTGAGACTGACCCCCTAATTCAACAACACTAATATTAACACTTTAACTTTACCTTTGAATGCTGTGATGACCAATTTTCAGATTTAAAACCCACACCTTCTAAATTTGGTGCATGGGGACAAGGAAAGGAGAGAGTGTTTAAGCACTAAAGACAATGTTGACAAAAGTGAACACAAGGTTAAGGAATTTAGAACCCAGTATAAAAGGAGCAAAGAACTCTTTCTTCCCATGTCTTCTTTCACTGTGCTCTCTCGATTTTTCTCACAGTATGGCTCCCAGGCCCTCTCCCAATACCTACTCTGTAAGGCTTTTATCCCATGGCCCTTTTACCCTCTCCCCCTGCACATCTGCTTAGTTGATCTTCCGCATCTCCTTGACTCCAACCCCGTATATATTTGATTCATGTATTAGTCTGCTCAGGCTGCCATAGCAAGGTACCACAAACAGGGTGGCTTAAACCACAGACATTTATATTCTCACAGTTCTGGAGGCTAGAAGTCTGAGATAAGATGTTGTCAGGGTTGGTTTCCTCTGGGGCCTGTCTCCTTGGCTTGTAGATGGCCATCTTCTCCCTGGGTCTTCACATGGTCTTCTTTCTGTGTGTCTCTGTGTCCTAATTTCTTCTTATTATTAAGACACCATCCATATTGGAATAAGGCTTACCCCAATAACCTCATTTTAATTTATTGCCTCTTTCAAGACATCATCTACAAACACAATCACATTCTGAAGTTAGGGGTCAGGATGTAAAGATGTGAACTTTGGGGACATAGAATTCAGCCCATAACAGCTCTGAATCATCTAACTCTAGACCTACATGACGACTGGCTCGTGTGTTTGAAAATCTCTCACATGAAAACAAGGGACAAGACCTCTGTATTCCTTAAGAGATCAAAACAAGGACGAATGTGTGGAAGATAAAGGTTGAAAGTCTCAGCCCACATAAAGAATTATGTGACAATGAAAGGAATCTAGTTATTAGGGGCTGCAGCCCCTGACAGTGTGTCCCCATCACCAGAAGGGCATGGCAAAGACTGGATGGACTCCTGTTGCTCAGGAAAATCTAGCAGGAGCCTATAAGGTCCCTTTTCCTTCTTTAATTTGATGACTTTAATGAGGAAAATGAGCTCACATGGATTAAATCAAGATGATCAAAATAAAGCAGTAGAAAATCCGAAAAGCCTATGCCTAGATGTGTCTGTAAACATAACATAATCAGATATGAGGAGAAAGGTTCTTTGGAACTCTTAGATTCATCCTTTCCCTGGGGTAATATAACGCAAATAAGGTAAGAGTGTGAACCATTTCAAAAGTAGTGAGGCCTCAGGTAACACGGGGAGGGCTAGAGCAACTCAGAAATGTCTTTCCCAAGAGAAAATGATCATTCAGCGCGTGGATGTCCATGGCAATTTAAATGGAGATTTTCCCACAGAAATCACAAAGATCAGAACCCAGGTGATCTGACACAACAACTCTGCTCTAAGCATCAACTTACAAGGTATGTGCACGAAAGCCATTCAGGAGGCCGTTGGGTGGCATGTGTCAGCATCAGCAGGCCAGTTGTTGGAAGACCCTGACTCCAGGACCCATCCTTCCATATATAAGTCCACTGACCTATGGTAAGGCCTTGTCTTCTTTGAACCTCAATTTCTTAATCTGTAAAATAGGAATAATATTACCGATCCTCACAGCAAGTTGTGAGAATTGATGTAATCATATAATTTATGAATTTAACTATGCAATTTAATTCAACTTAACTGTGAACTGTAGAACATTATTCAAATATATGGTATTAATATCATTGCTTTTCTTCTTGCCCAAGGTCACTGCCTATACTGTGTGCTATAAATGCAAGTCATCTTCCTCTTAGATAGAACATGAAAGATTTCTAGGGACACTCTTTGACAGCACAACTCATTCGGAAAGATGCAGACTTCCTAGACACAGTGGAGAAAATAATCCAGGAGAGGCATTCCTATCCCAAGAGACTACAAGGACACAATTAAAACCAAAAGCTGAAGAATGTACAAAAAAGAAGAAATTCCATACGTCAGAGAGGCAAGTGATCTTGAGATTCTTTTCATAGATGATACATCCAAACGTTACTCCCCATTAAGCTCTATCTAAGATGCTTATTAAAAATGCAGGGACTTCCCTGGCAGTCTAGTAGTTAAGACTCCACAATTCCACTGCAGGAGGTGCGGGTTCAATCCCTGGTCGGGGAACTGAGATCCCACATGCCGCATGGCGTGGCTAGATAAACAACAAGCAAACAAACAAATATGCAGACTCTCCCTTCCTGGAAATGCTCCCCACTACCATCACCCCTGATATTCTAGTTCAGTAGGACAACACTTTGATAAACACTTTCCCGGAGAGTGAATTCAGACTCTCCAAAAAAAAAAACATCTCATGCTTCTTACAACACTATGGAGGCTTTGAAGTATTTACCAAACCTGGGTTCCATGCACAGTATCTAGGGGTGACCTGGGGTTTCCTTAGCATCTCTCTCCAGTATCTCCATCTGCCTCCCTCCAAAATATGTCAAAATAAGCATTCAAGCTAAGTAAAGATTTTGTGCTTGCTGGGCAAAGCAGCCTCGAGTCAAGGCCCCTAATCCTTCTCTCCTTCCAGATTACCACCTTAAACCCCTGTATCTAGAAATTTTGGATTTGCCAACTGCCCAGAAAGATGAGAGCTACTTGTGTGACTGTGTCAAGTCCCTGCTGAGCTGTGTGAGGCTGGCATATGTAGAGCTGTCTTGGCTTATCAAGGGCTCCTCCTGGCACATGTAGCTCAGATGGAATGAAGGGCCTGGGAAGACTCACCCATCCTACCCAACCCACCACCCACTTCCACCAGTTTACACAAGAATAAGTGAAACAGGGCTTCCCTGGTGGCGCAGTGGTTGGGAGTCCGCCTGCCGATGCCGGGGACGCGGGTTCGTGCCTCGGTCCGGGAAGATCCCACATGCCACGGAGCGGCTGGGCCCGTGAGCCATGGCCGCTGAGCCTGCGCGTCCAGAGCCTGTGCTCCGCGACGGGAGAGGCCACAACAGTGAGAAGCCCGCGTACCACAAAAAAAAACAAAAAAGAATAAGTGAAACAGCCAAAAACCAACTCTGAAATATATCTCTAAAGACCATGAAGCCCTGAGTAAGAAACTGAGACATTTATGGGAACCTTTGGAATTTTGGAATTCTGTTCTTACACCCTGCTAATCGCTGTCACTGAGAAGTAGCAGGACCAGTTTTTGCCGGTCATTATCACCTGCCCTTGACATGATGGACTCACCTGCTTCTTCTCCAGCTCATGCCCCGTCGATCCTGTAGCCATGGCCACATACAGCCTCTGGGTTCTCCCCTGACAGCCTGACCCACCTAAACCCAGGAAAATGCTTGAATCAGTGACGGATAACGAATAGCAGGTGACACTTGAAGACAGACCCTTGTATCCTACACTATTTCTCTCTCTGCTAAGAAGTATATTTGCAATCTGGTCAGTAGAGTATATGTAGCACTCTCTTTTATAATATTTTTGTAGAAATCAATACAGTGTAACCAAATTGGTGTCAATAGGTTAGATTCCTTATTTATCATTATTGAGACTTTTCATTTCTTCATGGAAAAACTATTGGTTTACATCATGCCATTTGACTTCTGGTTCAAGTGCTTTCAAAGAAACTGATTTTTAAAAATGCATCCTTGAAAGCCTGACAGTCTAACAGTTGAAAAATCTAAGTCAGGACAGAATGGCAGACTAAAGATGGGTAAGATGAGAAAGTAAGAGGATAACTAAGGGCAATATTAAGTATACAAATATATGTTGATCAACAAAAACCAGAAGACCAAATGGAGCAGCTAGTAATAAAAAATAGGCAAGCACATTTTGACTTAAATTTTAAAAAGTACCCAGTATCCCAATACCTTTCCTATTGAAAGAAAAAAATGTAGCCATTATTCAAAGGGAAATGTGTGTGTGTGTGTGTGTGTGTGTGTGTGTGTGTGTGGTACATTAAGACGAGTTCCACTTCAATTTCTGAGCCTCGTTAAGTCATCATCCTCATCTTTCCATTTGTGCAAGTTTTCACAGTCTACAATGCACTTTCACAAATACTACGTATTCATCCAACCAACATTTATTGAGTTCCTCCTCTCTTTCAGTCTGCTGGACACAGGAAGTAAAAATATAAAAAGTTAATACTTACCTTTGAGAAGTCCATAGAAGCAATCTCCTATCCTAAACAAATTTAAGGAAGGGAAAGTCAGAAGATCAGAAGATCAGAATGATCAGAATGGGACAGAAAGATCAGAATGGGACAATGATTTTTTAACATGCAATTTTCCCCTTAGAATTCCAAACTCCTAGTAATGACAAAGGAGAAAAAATGATCACCAATTTCCCCATATTTTGAGAAAGCCATTTCACTACTTCTCACTCATTGGACTCTGTTACTAATCATTTGAGAGTTTCATAGAGTGTAAGCGGGCATGCCTCCTAAGCCTAAAAGCCTAAAAGTTTTAAGGGATGCCCTTAGACCTATAGACCTCTTCTCTATTTGCCATGTCCTGGACTAAAAGGCGGTAATATCCTTTCTCCTTAATTGTAATAGGTTAGGCATTAGGTTTACAAATAAACCTTGAGTATATCAATTTAAAAAGCAATTAAGGATCACCGATGATGTGTCATGCACTGTGATAGGAATTACAAGAGAAAAGTAAAAGCATGTCCCTGACCACAGGGAGCTCAGGAGGGGAGAAATACATATAAAAAATATATTTAAAAATACATATATATTTACATATATATAAGTAAATCTAAAGCAAATGCTCCACAATCAAGGTAAAGGTAGTACCTGAGGGTAGACTTTTTCACCTAGCTAATCTTTTCAACTCTCTCACTAACGTCCTCAACATTTTATGCTGGCGGGAGGAGCATCTGAAACAGATCGCTGTCATGTTTTAGGCACTATGTTCTGCTGTTATTTAAATTCTTCAAAATGTTAGAATGGGTTATGAAAATATGTCCTCTGAGCCCTTTAGAAAACAAGCCAGACTAATTTCACTTAGAAAAGAAATCACATCAGATTAATAGTCTTATTTTGATGAGAATATTGAATTAGCTACTAGATAGATCTAGTGAATCTTGACTTGAACAAGAATTCTGAGAGGGTCTCAAGACTTCCTGCTGGTCATGTTGAAAAATAATTTGTACCAAATGATACCACAATAAGATGAATTCATAATGATTAAACTACAGTGCCCAAATGGTGCTGGTCAGCCTCGTGGAGAGTTTCTAAAGACATTCCTTAGGCCTGTGCCCTCAGCCCTGTTTTAGCAACATGTTACACAACAATTTGCACAAAGATGTAAAAAGTATGCTCTACTGAAACTCCAATGAATTTTAAAATCTCAGAATATGGCCAAAAACTGGCACTGAGCCTGGTCCATGAAAAATATATTTTTGAAAGTTTCTATAATGAATGAACGAATAAACAAATGGATTGCATAGATTTGAAAGAGGAACTAACATTTAATAAATCATGTAATGAGATAAATGTAAGGTCCTGCACCAGGGTCTAAAACTACCAAAGTACAACAGGGAAGGAGAGAGTTTTCTGAGCAGTTTGATTGGAGTAGCCATCTCCTCCCCCCACAAAAAAAGATAAACAAAAACATTTAATACTCTAATTGGTTGTATCAATAGAAGTATAGAACCTAGAATGAAGGAGGTGATAGTCTACTTTGTACTATCAGCCCATACGGAGCATTTTGTTCAATTATGAATGCTACACACTGAAATAACTTAAGGGGAAATTGAATGGTGAGTAGGCTAAATATCATGTCATATGAGAAATAATTTATTATACTATGTGGGATTATCATCATAGTCATAAAAAGAACTAAGTGACAAGTGCTTTACATGCATTTTCTCATTAGGTCCTCACAACATTTTGCCTGCGAAGCAAGTACTATTATTATCCCATTTAACAAATAAGAAAATAAAGGCTGAGAGAGGCCAGGCAATTTGCCCAAAGTCAGAGAGGTGATAGACAGAGGCAGCTTTGAATCTCAACAAGGCTTCTCTGATTCTAGAGCTTACACACTTAAGAAAAGGAGACAAATATTGGAAAGACTATGATGTGGACACAGAATTGGAGCCTATGCATACTGGCTTCAAGAAAGAGCACTGGAACCAAAGAATGGAAGCTACTGGGAGAACTGGCTCATTATATGAAACAATTTATAATAGTTCTTTTAGGTGTCTCACACAGATCCCCTCCCATGCTTTTCCACACCATTTCAGATCAAATTGACCATTTCCTTGAATGAGGGCAATTATATTAATTGCAAACAGTTTTCTGTTTTCTGTCTATAAGAACTCACAGTTCAGATTTTTAAGGTGGTAGTTACTGTTGGTCACATTTCTACGTCTATCTATATTTCTGTTCCTACTAACTACTGCACAGATCTGGGCAATGTGACGATCAAAGATGTGTAGTTTTGACTTTATAACATATGCTAGCTATAGCTGCCCTTGAAAGCCAGGAATTGTGCCTTCCCTCGGTGCCACCTTGAAGCCACCATGGGAGATGTACAAGTCACCCTAGGTTTCAAAAAGAAGCAATCCATTTCCAAGTTGCAATCTACTTGAAATAATCTCCCCAATTACATGGGAGTAATTTACTCTATATTTACTTTCTGCTTTGGACTATCAAATATCTCTTCCTCTCACCCGCAGGGGCAGCAGCTGGGATTAAAACTTCCACTACCCTCCGGGCTGGGGCTTTATTATTTAACTCTTTCGTGACCAGGAGTGGACAAGGTTTGCACCAGATGATGACTAAACTTCCCTTTAGCCTAAGACATATTATTGCAATATTAACCTTATTTATTTTAGATCCAACCTATTTCCAGAGCTGTTTATTGTTTTTAGTACAAATTCTTTCTCCAGCACTGGGGCAGACCAACATAAAGCTAAGCAGTTGGAAAGTAAAACATTTAATCAGCTAAAAAATCCACCCATGCGATACCAAAGAGACAAATGTATGTATGGTTTGCTACAAGGAAGAGCTCCAGGGGTGCTAAGCCCAGTGGCACCTCTCAGCGGGTAAAGTTTCACTTTCCACCCTACCAGTTGAGGTCGCCAGAGCTCAGAAAAGGGAGTATTTTTATTTCGAATTCTCTGTCCTGGGTGTAGCCCTCCAAATCTCTGGGCTTCCTCCTGTTGTCTCCTATGGAGAGGAAGAAATAGCCTTTTCAAATCAGTCTTGGCCTCTCAAAACCCAGAACTGTGGGTGAGCATGACTCTTTGTTTTTAATAGTAGGCTTTATTTCTTAGAGCTATTTTAGGTTTACAGAAAAACGGAGCAGAAAGTACAGACAGTTCCCATATACCCCTCCCCTCCCCCACCCCCATCTCCACAGTTTCCCCCATTATGACACCTGGTCTTGAGCATGACTTTCAATAGAGTGGTCCAGGTTTGCAGTTCTGAAGTTTCCTGACCTTAAGGTGGCTAAGAATGTGGTCAGACCCATCCCTGTTCCAAATAGAACTCACTCACTCTGGAGGCTTCCATCAGCTGCTGGGACCAGCCATCCCATCCTGAGCTGAGCTCTTCAACAAAATGAACCTGGCCCAGAGGCAGCCGCCCTTAAAAACAAGCCAGACAGGAAGCAGGAGGCAGCAATGGGCTCTGGGAAGAGCCTGAAGACAGCAAGTTTCAACAGAGTATTTTGAAGAGATCGTTGGCAACATTATCTTATTAAATTACAGGGGGATCATCCTTACTTGCGTAAACTCTTCATGAAAAACAATTAGGCAGCCATCGTGGTGCTGTTATCAGTGAGAGTTGCCCCCGCAAATCTCTTTGGCCAGGGCTGCTGTGCTAGGATGAACTTCTCCCTGTGCCTGGCCCTCTTTCTGCACTAGCTTTTAATTGCTAACGAATTAAACTTTCCAAGGAGATAAGAATAATGTTGTTTTGTTTGCACACAGGCTGCACGACTAACAAGGACAATATAAATAAACCCATTCCGAGCTTTATCTGCTCTATCTGCGGGTGGACGCACAGTGCCTGTGTTCTAGTGAAGCCTGGGATGGCTTCCACACAAGATTAAGCGGTTATTGTGGAAGCCAAGGCTTGCACACTGTTAAAAGCCCGAGCTAATACGTTCACTTAAGACGTTATGCCTAATTATGCTATCTGGCAGTACGGAAACCTGTTCCCCAAACCTTAAACCATCCCGATGGTTTGGGTGTGGGTCTGAACCCTGTAAATACACCAGGACGACTCTGTAGGATTCGGAGCCAACTATGCTGCATGATGGCTATGAAAATGGGCAAAATCTAGTCCTTGTACATTCTATCCCCCCAGGATGGTATGCATTTCTTCTTGGTTCTGTAGCTATCGTAACAAAAAAGTGTGAGGGGAACTGTTTGTGCTTTTATTTTTGGAAACTTACTTCAATCTCTGCAGGCATCTCCTATGAAATACAGAGCTCTCTGTCCACCAAGTTGTTTGGGAGTGCTGGTGGGGATGGAGTTCTTTATTTATGGGTTTGTTTCAAGTTCAAAGAAGGGCTGCCCTGCGGGATGTAAAGTACAGCATGCTGACTATACGTAATAATACTCTACTGAATATTTGAAAGTTGCTTTAAATAGAGTAGATCTTAAAACTTATCAGAAGAAAAAAAAATGTTTATAACCAAGTATGGTGACAGACATTAACTACACTTATCGTGGTGGTCATTTCACAGTATATACAAATGTCAAATCATTATGTTGTTTACCTGAAACTAAAATAACATTATGTGTCAATTATCCCTCAAAAAAGAAAGAAAAGGAATGCCTTCATGGCTAGGAGAAAAAACTGATGTCTCAAGTTCTGAGTCATGGTTTCTGCTTAGCTCCTGATGTCAGTCGAGTGAAGTGTCACGTGGTTTGTATTCCTTGCCTGTAAGCAGGTATGGCGTGGTGTGATACCAACCCTAACCACTGTTTTGGCTGTGTGTTGAATGCACAGAATCCTCTGGTGATGTACGAGCATCGTGTGTGTGTGTGTGTGTGTGTGTGTGTGTGTGTGTGTGTGTGTGTG